ATATTGTCATATTAGTCCACGTGTGTTCAAATAATAAAACAGAAAATAAGACAGAAAATAATGATGCGGAAACGTTGAGTTAGACAGTAGAACACAATATATATAACTAGAAATCAAATTGGAAATATAACAGCACTCCAGGTGTGTTTCAGCTGAGGATTTAATGCAATTGTAAAAAAAGTTTGTCTTTCGGATGAGAATCGTCATCCGTTAGTCCCTTGTAAAATATGGCCCATGTGGACGTTAAAGAACGCTATACACTCTTCGTAATACAGTTGGAAATCGTCTTCTGGTGTACTGCCCAAGCACCAGCAAAAGGACGTCCCCTGGAAATAAGTCTTTGAGATTTTGTGGGTTTATAATTAGTGTTCACACTGAATAGGTCCAAATTAAGAGACCACTCAGCATGTAAATTCCCTTCTGGGTATTTAGAGTGTTAAGGCCTGTTTAAACTTCAACGATAACGATAACGATAAAAAAAAAAATAGCTAAAAAGCGATTGTTCATACAGAAAACCAAAAAAATAAGAGAAGTTTTTACATTGGACGATTCGATAACGATTTATCCTGTATATGATAACAAAATATAACAAATCAAACCAGATGACGTCATAATCATGGAAAAACGATAAAATCGTTGCTACTACTACGATTTTAATGTTTTTCCATGATTATGACGTCATCTGATTTGATTTGTCGAAAGTAGTTGTTATTGCATAACTGAAAAATCTTTATCGAATCGTTCTAGTGTAAAAACTTCTCTTATTTCTTTTATTTTCTATATGAACAATTGCTTTTTTATCGTTATCGTTACCGTTGAAGTATTAACAGGCCTCTATCCCTGATTCTACGTGATTATATTCATTTTTAGAATTCATGTCGTTAACTAAAATCAAGTCAAATCAAATCTACTCATTATTTTCCGAAGTGGTCGATTATATTTTAATTTAGTATGATATCACTCTTACTTACAGAACAGCTGTCTATTTCTCCTTCCTCATATCCAGCACATATCATCCGTTCCGTGATACCACCTATATAGTATGTGTCACATACAGTTCTCGGAATCACAGGCACATTAGCTTCAAGCAATATGTCACTTCCGCTATCTACAAACACTGAAATAACGAGACATTTTAAACAAGATGTTTTATAGTTACATTTATAGCTTTTCTTACTAAAGCTAATTCTACAGAATTGATGGTTCTGAGGAAGTGGTTTGCCAGCATTGGTGCGAATGATTTTACTGCTCTCTCTTAAAGGTCAGGTAATTTTGTCTCTTCCTATAGAGAAAAAAAAAATCAAAGACATAGGCAATATATTACTATATTCCAACAATATTGAAATATTGGATATATAGTCTTTCTTCCATGGATCGATGAACCGATAGGCATAGACTGGGTTCTAGTCGCTAATATTTGTATACGAAAAATCCATAAATTAGAGACTTGTGGCAAGTCTACGATAGGCATGAAGAACGCACTTTCGTATATAAATTATTCCGTCGTCGAACCAATAACAGTTTTTTAAATTTTATTAATATTGAAGCCTAGTTGAGCTAAGCCTAGTTTGCCCGATCTGCCAACCTATGCCTAGGTAGGTTAGCATGCCTTTTGTAAGCCAGGCCCCAGTAGTATTTTGTGAACTTTCTCAACAGAGGGGGTGGTTTATTATTATTATTGTTATTATTATTATTATTATTATTATTATTAAAATACTTATAATGGTCACATTATTAAGAAGACACAACAATAATTGTTACTTAACCAATATCCTGAGGCGCGTGGAACGGAGAGAGTAGAGAAAACAGTAGAACTTATACATACTGTTTGTGGTGCTGAACTAATAATAATAATTTAATAATAATAATTATAATAATAATAATAATAATAATAATAATAATAATAATAATAGGCCTACCCAATATAATATGAAATATTATCGGCTTACTTGCAATAAATTTAACTTACCATCAGAGTCAGTGTTACCCCAGCCAGCTATAAAGCACTCGTCATAAATAATATTATCAGTTTCATTAGTTTCCAAACAAATAGGAGAAACAGTGTCTGAATAGACCAGGCTTCTTCTCAATCTTAATAACGCAATATCATAGTCCAAAGTTTCATCGTTGTAGTCAGGATGCATGTATATCTCGTCGATTTGGGCATAGTAGCCATCATCATGATCAATAATAGTTGAATTCAAGAATACATTAATTCCTCCAACTGACCTATGAAGTGATTTTAAAGAAGCTAATTAGAAAGTGGCCTACACAAGCAAACCATAAAAAAGGCGGTACAAGTTCCTGTATTATTATTAACACAGAGAATGGAGCAGAAACCATGTGCTGCTCAACACAGTATGGAAAGACGTAGAATTACCAAACGTGACAGAAAGACTAATGTCTGGATTCGTGGTCAGACGAAGGTTACTGATATAATAATAATATGTTAGACTTGCATAGCACTTAACGTTATTAAGCGCTTCACATTATTACCCCGGGTCTTTGGATTAAACACATATGGAAATCAAACTCAGGCTCCCTGGGGGAGTATTTCATAACGTTACAGCAGCTACTCAGCACATTTTGGCATTTAACCCCACCAGGTACCCATTTATACTACTGGGTGGCGAGAAGCAATGCAGATAAAGTGCCTTGCCCAGAGACATACGTAGAGTGCACAGCAAGGTGATTGAAATCAAACCCCGACCCCGTTACACTGCGCCAAACCACTTCTAACGAAGTGAAAAAAAATCTAAGAAATTGTCTTGGACAGGTCATGTAGCACGACAGACAGATGGTAGATGGACAAATGCTGTCACTGAATGGAGACCAAGGAATGGTGTTGGACAATAAGGAATACCTAAAGTGAGATGAGATGATGAGTACTCAAACTATGTTGGTACAAAATAGACAGCTATAAAGTCAACTTAGAGAGGTCTTCACCATAGATGGTCCAAAATGGCTAATGATGATGATGATGATATCTATTTAACCCATCGTTTACGTACCTGGATTCAAATTTTGACGGTATCGTATTGTATTGTCGACAATAAACATACGTTGATATATTTATTCCTTAATATTATATATATTATATGCATAGGCCTACATAAAATATATTATTCTTTATTTTGAAAAAAGAAACGTTTGCAACAATGGTAGAGTGCGTAGACGGAAGAAAAAAAAAACAAACGTAAAAATAAACTTATCAAATTTAAAATCTAATAAATTTAAAACAAGTAGATCTAAACATCAATGTATCATTCATTTTATTTTATTTTATTCATTTCGGCAACAAAAAAACTATTTTTCTCCCTTACTATTCAAACATTTCAAAAGGCATATTCGTCTTAGTTAAAAATAATATTAATCGTGTAAATTGGAATTAAATTATAATTAGATATGCATATAAGCCTACCTGTCATAAGTGCAGTGAGCAGCTGTTAATATCCAAATATTCCCTATAATAACGGCTCCACAGAAATGTCCATACTGATTCTGCAATGACACTAACCAAGGCCACTTTCCCTGTTGTGTCTCCTGACCACCGATAATTCTTTGCGTTCTATACATCATTCTTGTTCCGCATTCTGTTTAATTCATTTAATATTTATTTTATTCTATATTTTGATATTTGATATATGGAATTCATTATACTATATATTATTAAATCCAGTATTTATACATTTTTATTTAAACATTTTTTTATTTCTTAGCAGGAGTTAAAATTGCCTACCTATAATTTCAAAAAATACTCATAAAAAAAATCATAATCATAATCAACAACACTAATATACATTTAGATTTATAGTTTTTGGGGGTTTTCCCATGGTGCCTTTAAATCACTTTATATAAAAGATCATTCGAGATCTAGCAAGATGAAAATAATACACAGAAGAGGCCGTATCTTATAAATCTCTAGTAGTCTAGTCAAGTGCGATATTTATGCTATAGCAAAATGGTGACTTAATGTTCTACCTGGCGCTTTAATCACCACAATGCCTTCGTGGTCAAGTGGTTATGACGCTCACCATGTAGGCGAAAGGTTCCGGCTTCGAGTCCCGTTGGAGGCTGAGATTTGTTTATTATTAGATTTCTCTTCTGTTACGTTTCAATTATTGGAACCAAGTAAATTCAAATAACATAAAAATAAAATGACTACAACATGCTTTAAATCCTTAATACTTTTGATGTTGCACATATCCTTATGTATACAACTCTTACTATTTTTAAGAATTTATAATATATCAGTTCAGCGTCTTCATGTCAACATACCTAGGACTGGTCTCCATGTCACTGTAAAAGTTGTTGGTGTAAGATCTGGTTGCGTAGAAGTCATGATGGTCTGTGTTGTAGTGTCTGGTTCTAGAGATATTGTTGTGTGTAGATCAAACTCCCTTGTAGTAAAGGATGGTTGCGTTATTATTGTAGATTCTGTGGAGAGTACATCCTGGCC